AAATCCCAGGATGCCACAGGATGTTGCCATGGCAGTCAAACTGGAATCATAGCACTGAACCTGTGTAGTGTGAGTGACTGCTCCTTGTTTAAATCAGTGAATTAAAACACCTTAATTTAAATCAATCCCAGCTGGTATATATTCACTTTCATCTTCAGTTCGCAATACATGCCCTTTTTAAAAATCTAATTTCCCCAGACAATATCAAAGCATCAGCTATAGCGAGGGAAGCTGAAGATCTGCAAAAACAAAATCCTCTTCAGCAACCCCCTTTAAAAAGAGTTACAGAGCAAAGGGCTGTGTTCCATACAATGATGGTTTGGGCCATGTTCTAAGGCCAGTTTAAATGTGCCCAGTTTAAACAACAAAAAGAGGCTAGGATGATGTCTAGTGGGTAATTGATGGGCAGGATTTGCTGTGGTCTAACAAATAATAAAAAAATACCTTGCTGTCTCGTAGCAATGGCACCCAGACCTTGTGAGCCAGGGTAAAATATTTTGAAACCTTTCAGAGATGGGGTCCAGATATTTAGTATATTAATTTACATCCTATCCTTTTCCCAGTCCAAGATGCAAGCTGGCTGACAAAAGTTAAAGCGGACATACGTTTTAAAAAAAATCACATCATACAAACATTTAAAACATTACTAAACTAACAAGAGAATTAGAAGCATGACCATTAAAGAAAATAAATAGAACTACATTCTGAAAAGCCCTTTCCGCCAAACTATCAACTGTCAAAGACCCGAAATAGAAAGACCGACACCTGCCTATGAATAATAATAATAATAATAATAATAACTATTATTATTATTATTATTATTATTTCTATCCCGCCCCTCTGCAACACAATCGGGGCGGCTTACAACAATAAAAACATCAATAAATACATCCAATTACAACCCCCGCCCCTTAAAAGATTATTAAACTAGAGCAATTTAAAATACAGATAAAACAACATATAAAACCAACATCTTAACAATACTACATAGTCAGCAGCAGCATCAAGGGGAGGGAGTTATCTATATATTTCTAACCTATGAGCCCTCTAAAGACCTCAGATTATTAGATGGCTTCACTGTTACAAAATTTCGATATTTTCATAAACCTATAAAGCTCTTCACATTGAGAGATGCTAACTTGCTCAGGGACACCCATGGACTTCACAGACATGGCAGGGGGGGGGGGGCTGAACTTTTTACTAAGGTTTCTTTACTAAGAAACTTGACATGCATAAATTTATTACTTATTTGCTAAGACCGTACATAGATAGGGTGATTAGTGTTGACTGGGATTTGCAAAATCCAGCTGCAACTGTGCATTATGCCAGGAAATTCTCTGGATGACCATGGCTGCTGCCACATTGCAGAATTAAAACAGTTTGACACCCCTTGAAGTGCCATGGCTCATGCTATGGAATCCTGGGATTTCTAGTTTGTTGTGACATGAGAACCCTCTGACAGAGGCTAAACATCTCACAAAACTACAAATCCCAGAATCCCACAGCATTGAACCATGATAGTTAAAGCAGTGTCAAACTCTACTAATTCTGCAGTGCAGATGCAGCCTATGA